GCACCGAACTTTTGATCCGCAAACTGCCCTTCCAACGTCTCGTCAGGGAGATCGCCCAGGACTTCAAGACCGACTTGCGTTTCCAGAGTTCCGCCGTGATGGCTCTCCAGGAAGCTAGCGAAGCTTACCTCGTCGGTCTCTTCGAAGATACCAACTTGTGCGCCATCCACGCCAAACGCGTCACCATCATGCCCAAAGACATCCAGCTGGCGAGACGCATTCGCGGAGAAAGAGCTTAAAAAAAAAAAATCGACCGACCATCAATCACACCGTCATCTCTCAACTGTCAGTTCTCTTTTCGAAAGAGACAAAAAAATCGGTTCTTTTCAGAACCTCAATATTTTTCCTAACGAATAAAAAATTAAGCAACTTTTTCGAGAATCGAATCGTTCGAAAACTTAAATAAAAGATAAAAAATTTAAATTAAGGCATGCAAATTCATTCATTCATTCATTCAAATCAATCGTATCGATCAATCAATCATTTATTTCATTCATTCATTATTCGAATATGGGTTGAGCGAAAATTTTAATTCGTTTGAAAAAAATTTGTGGCCCTGAAAAGGGCCATTTATGCGTGCCCCTTCGTCGATATGTACGATCGGAGCACCGCCGGGAAACAACAACAACGACGTCGTCGTCATCATCTTCTTCGAACGCTCACTTTTTTCTTTTCGGAGAAGCGGCTTTCTTCGCTTTGGCGGAGACGGCCTTGGTGGACTTGGGTTTCGGAGCTTTCGGTTTCTTCGTGGGTCCGGCCTTGTTAGATCTTTTCGCTTTCGAAGGAGATTTCGCCTTCGACGCCGCTCTGGCGGCAGCGGCGGCGGCGGCCTTCTTCTCTGCGGCGGAGGCGCTGGCAGCGGCGGCGGCGGCCTTCTTCGCTTTGGCCACGGAAGCGGTCTTCTTTTCGGCGGCGGCCTTTTTCGCTTTCGGCGCGGTCTTCTTCGAAACCTTAGAAGCCGCCTTCTCGCCGGCGGCGGCGGCGGCTCCGGCGGAAGCGCGTTTTCCCGCGCCAATCGCGGCTTTCTTCGTCCTGCCGGCGCCGGATTTCCTCTTCCTTTCGGCGGCGGAGGCGGCGGCTTTGGCACCGCCGGCGGTCGTGGAGGCCAACTTGAAAGAACCGGAAGCACCTTTGCCTTTCGTCTGGACGAGGGAACCGGAAGCGACGGCGCCTTTCAGGTATTTCTTGATGAACGGAGCAACTTTTTCGGCGTCGACCTTGTAGTTGGCGGCGACGAATTTTTTGATGGCCTGGAGGGACGATCCGCCGCGTTCTTTCAAACCTTTGATGGCGTTGGTCACCATCTCCGAAGTCGGCGGATGGGAAGGTTTGCTCCTGGGATTCTTCGCTTTCTTTTCCTTCTTGGCGTGAGGCGTTCCGGCGGAGGAGGCGGCGGCCGAAGCTGTCACCGCGGCGGAAGCTGTTTGATTTTCTACGTCTGCCATTTTACCGAACAACTGATTGTTTTTGTTATTAAAAAAAGTCGATGGTTATCGGTCGCACGATCGAATTTGAATAGTGGCGAAAACGACGTCTAAGTGTCCCCGACGTAAACCAAGCGGACTGTAAACTAAACGCGCGACTTTGACGGAATTCGCTCGAAATCGGCGGCCTCGCGCTCGACTTTCGGGTGATGACATCGTTCTCTTTTCGCCGTCACCACCGCCTCCTTGTCGTTAGACGGACGAAACACGGCCTCAGACCTTCCTCGACGTTTATTCGAGTATTTTTCGACGAAGCGGGAATCGGCGAATCGGCAGGGCGTCCGTCCGGACGCTCGCTCGAAGAAGACCTTGTCAAAAGTCGAACAACGTACCGAAGGTGGACGTCGACGCTCCGACGTCCGTCGTCGCCGCCACCGTGACGACGCTTCGACGAGGTGAGCCTCCGTCCATGCTTTCCGGTTTTTTACACCCTCGGGGACGATCGGAAGACGTTTTCTCGTCAAAAAACGCCTCCGAAAGAGGCAAGGTACGGTCAAAATCGTCACCGCTTCGAAGCGACTCTTCCGATTTCGACGATCTCCTGGGGCACGGGGGGCTCCTTCGACGTAGATCGTCGAACGAAAACGACGGAACGGACTTTCGGCCGTCCTCCGGTGGCGGTCTCGTCTCGGTACGAGGATGGGAACATTAAAAATTTCCATGTCGAAGGCGCGACGAGATGATTCGGTCTCGTCGTTTCCTCGTACCTCGAAACGACGAGGAAATTCGGATTTTTTTTATTTTTTTCCGTACGAGATCGATCGACGATCGAAATTGCACGTCTGACGAAAATTTCCTTGCGGATTTTTCCAAAAGTTTCTTCGTTTCGAGTGTCGTTTTCGAGCCGGGACCGAGCGCGGAAACCCGCAGCACCGCACCGACGGCGAACGAAAATTCTTTCTTCGATTCACGTACGATACGTTTTCTGTCTTTCCTGTGGCCGCTTTTCATAGTTTTATTTTCTTTTTTTTTTCCTTCTTCTTTCGAAGATCTGAAAGACTACATTCTATGGAGTTTATTTAATCTATTATTGTTTACAGACGAACGAACTTCGAACTATTTTAACATCTTTCAACTATTATTTTTTAATTCAATTCACTTACACTATTATATTATCAAGACAAGTGTTTTTCAAAGCATTCGAACCATCGAGATACGGCGAATTTATGACGGCGGTTGTTTGTAAAATATTGCAAATGCTGCTTTTTGGGTTATATTTATATATATGTTGTCCGGGACTTGTTTTTTACGTATATTTACGATTACATTCACACACAGGTGGCCAGGTGGCGGTAGTAGGGTAATTAATCCGGCGGACGAAGATGGTTTATGGTTTGTTTTTACCTACGTCCGCCGTGATTGTGCCTTATGTGCCTGGTTCGTCTCTTTGTCGGTCTTGTCGTCCTTTCCCTATCCTGTCGGTGGCATTCGTCTGTTAGTTGTACGTGCGTGATGTGCTTGTTTGTTTGTTTTGTATTTTGTGTTGCAGACCGCTGCGCTGTGCTGCGCTCCTCGATCTTCGATGTTCGTTCGTCGGATCTTGGCACTTTTGCTTCGACGTTTCGACTTCTCGGATCCATTTCTACTCATTTTTTACCCTTATCATCAGGCAACGGCCATACCACGTTGATAGCACCGGTTCTCGTCCGATCACCGAAGTTAAGCAACGTCGGGCGCGGTCAGTACTTGGATGGGTGACCGCTTGGGAACACCGCGTGCCGTTGTCTTCTTCTTTTTGTTAAACTTTAGTTTTTAGTAAAAAAAAACGATGTGTTTATTATAAGTGTGTCATAAGTTAAGCTAGTTTTTAATTTAGAATTTAAGTTAGTCGCTAAGATTTTCCACTCGCGTCCTTCGACTCGAAATTTTCAAACATTCCGCTCCCGCCAGATTTTTTGTTTTTGTTTTGCCCTATCGCGAACACCCCCCTTATTCTTTTTTTTTTTTTTTTTTTTTTTTTTAAGTCCAAAAAAAAATTTACAAGTCCAGATCAGATCGAGGTGTCGCGGAACGACACTCTACTACGTTTAAAATAAATGTATTTATGTCTGTGACGATAAAATAAAATTAAAGCACGACGAGAACTTATAAACGAACGCCGTACATGGACAACGAGATCAGAATCATTCAGGAAGACTCGAAAAGAAACGAATCGACGCTTGATCTTTTAATTTGAAATTTATTCACGCTCGATCGTGAAAATGCAAAAAAACAGCCGTTTTGTTAGGAACATGCGTTATTTATTGTACGCGAGTTCCTCGAACAGACGGCCAGTATAGATTTGCATCAGTTTCGTAATTCTGGTATTAAAATAATAATAAAAAACGCGACCGTTTTCTTCTCGATCTTATGATTTCCTGATAAAATCGATCGTAGAGAGCACAGCGCTTCGTTATGAAGAAATAAATAATATAAATTCCTTCTTGCGGCGGGGGAAAAAAAAAGAAAGAAAAAAAAAAAACAAGTACGTTCCCGTGACCTGACTTATTTACATATCGTATAAAAATCGATCGATAAAAATATATCGCTGTTTTTTAACATAGTTTCATTTCGAAAACCTCTAACCGAAATCGATCGTACGTACGTACGACGCGGACGGAATTTAAACATCGCACACCCCGAAACGAAAAGTATCATTTTATTCGTTCATTTAATAATCGAATAATAATAAAGGGGAAAGAAACATTCTCGAGGTTCGTTAATCTCTTATTTGTAAGGAATGCGATTTGTGGTTCTGAAAAGAACCGATTTGTTTGTTGTTGTTGTTTTTTTTTTTTTTTTTCCGGAAAGATGGACGACGGACGACGACAGAAATGATAACAAAATCATTCTACTTGGAGCTGGTGTACTTGGTGACGGCTTTGGTACCTTCGGAGACGGCGTGCTTGGCCAATTCACCGGGCAAGAGGAGACGTACGGCGGTCTGAATCTCCCTGCTGGTGATGGTCGAACGTTTGTTGTAGTGGGCGAGGCGGGAAGCTTCGGCGGCGATACGTTCGAAGATGTCGTTCACGAAACTGTTCATGATGGACATCGCCTTGCTCGAGATACCGGTGTCGGGATGTACTTGTTTCAACACCTTGTAGATGTAGATAGCGTAGCTCTCCTTCCTCCTGCGCTTCTTCTTCTTGTCGCTCTTCGAAATGTTCTTTTGGGCCTTTCCGGCCTTCTTGGCGGCTTTACCGCTAGTCTTGGGTGGCATCTTCGAATATTCGATAAGAGTTTAACAGAACAGAACGCAACGCTACGCTCGGTTCTCGACGAACGAATAAAAATATCACCCCGCGTGCGACTACTTTTATAACGGACCGTCTACCGACTCAGGCCACGCCCATTCGTCCTAGCCTTCCTATGCGCCGAACTGAACCGACCGCACGGAGGGTATAAAGCCTAAGCCGCGACCGCCGGTCCGATACATAACCGAATAACGCAGCAGTCGATTACGTGTCTCGTCGTCGCCGCTCGTCGCTCGCTCTTCTTGTTTATATTTCGTTTTTCGCAAGAAAATTAAAGAAAATGTCAGGACGTGGAAAGGGAGGAAAAGTCAAGGGAAAGGCGAAGTCCCGTTCGAGCCGTGCCGGTCTTCAGTTCCCCGTCGGCAGGATCCATCGTCTCCTCCGTAAAGGAAACTACGCCGAACGCGTCGGTGCCGGAGCTCCCGTCTACCTCGCCGCCGTCATGGAATATCTGGCCGCCGAAGTTCTCGAGTTGGCAGGAAACGCCGCCAGAGACAACAAGAAGACCAGGATCATTCCCAGACATTTGCAGTTGGCGATCAGGAACGACGAAGAGTTGAACAAGCTCCTTTCCGGAGTGACGATCGCCCAAGGCGGCGTTCTGCCCAACATCCAGGCGGTTCTCTTGCCCAAGAAGACCGAAAAGAAGCCTTAAACTCTTTTCATTTTTTTTAAAGAAACGGACCGGACGGACGACCGCTTTACCGAGAAAAAAAAAGAAAAACAACAACCCACATCATCGGCCCTTCTCAGGGCCACTAATTTTTTTCAAACGATTAAATGCTCGCAAACTTATCTTAATGGAAAACAAACAAAAAAAAATAATAGAAAGAAAGAAAAGTACTTTATATGACACGATATCGTTTTTCGATTCGAAAACGTTAATTTTTTTCTTATTGTTCGTTCATTTTTAAGCTTTCTCTCTGTCACTTCTCGTGAATTTTACTGCAAACGTTTAAAAATACGTGATTTTAATTTAATTTTTTTCGTTTTTCCATTTTATATCGTCATTATTATTTCTTTAAAAAAAACCAACACAACCAACCATTCATTCATTCATTCATTCATTCATTATTTATTCTCGACATATAGTAAGCGAAATTTTTTATTCGTTAGAAAAATTTTGTGGTTCTGAAAAGAACCGTTTTTTTTTTTTCTCCGATCTCGTTTGTTGTCGTGGCGTATATACGGAAAAGTCAAAGAATCAAAATCACCGACGATTAAATTTCTTGCTATTGCAAAAAATTAACCGCCGAAACCGTAGAGGGTGCGTCCTTGACGTTTCAAAGCGTAGACGACGTCCATGGCGGTGACGGTCTTACGTTTGGCGTGTTCGGTGTAGGTGACGGCGTCACGGATCACGTTCTCGAGGAACACCTTGAGGACGCCTCTGGTTTCTTCGTAGATCAACCCGGAGATACGTTTCACACCGCCGCGACGGGCCAATCTTCTGATGGCCGGTTTCGTTATGCCCTGGATGTTGTCGCGCAGGACTTTGCGATGACGTTTCGCGCCACCTTTTCCCAAGCCTTTGCCTCCTTTTCCTCTACCGGTCATCTTGGAATATCTTCGAAGAAGCTTGCGAGAGACGTGGATTCAGAACGGTGTTCGAAAGGGAACTGCGAAAATTACGAAATTCGGCGTCGTTTTATAACGTTCCCGAGCTACGCCCATTTCTGGTCCCGCTCGACCAATAGACACGCGCAGAGAGCGACTTTGTAGCGGTGAACGTTATATAAGGTTCGCCGCGAGCCTGTCGGCCGTTATTTCCAGTCAACGTGTTCGTAACGTCCGTCTGCTGCGTGTTCGTTCGTCGATCGATTTTAATCTTTCGCTTATTTTTTCGAAATGGCAAGAACAAAACAGACCGCTCGTAAATCTACGGGAGGAAAAGCCCCCAGAAAACAGCTCGCCACTAAGGCCGCGAGAAAAAGCGCACCGGCGACCGGCGGCGTCAAGAAACCCCATCGTTACAGGCCCGGAACCGTCGCTCTCCGAGAGATCCGTCGTTATCAGAAGAGCACCGAACTTTTGATCCGCAAACTGCCCTTCCAACGTCTCGTCAGGGAGATCGCCCAGGACTTCAAGACCGACTTGCGTTTCCAGAGTTCCGCCGTGATGGCTCTCCAGGAAGCTAGCGAAGCTTACCTCGTCGGTCTCTTCGAAGATACCAACTTGTGCGCCATCCACGCCAAACGCGTCACCATCATGCCCAAAGACATCCAGCTGGCGAGACGCATTCGCGGAGAAAGAGCTTAAAAAAAAAAAATCGACCGACCATCAATCACACCGTCATCTCTCAACTGTCAGTTCTCTTTTCGAAAGAGACAAAAAAATCGGTTCTTTTCAGAACCTCAATATTTTTCCTAACGAATAAAAAATTAAGCAACTTTTTCGAGAATCGAATCGTTCGAAAACTTAAATAAAAGATAAAAAATTTAAATTAAGGCATGCAAATTCATTCATTCATTCATTCAAATCAATCGTATCGATCAATCAATCATTTATTTCATTCATTCATTATTCGAATATGGGTTGAGCGAAAATTTTAATTCGTTTGAAAAAAATTTGTGGCCCTGAAAAGGGCCATTTATGCGTGCCCCTTCGTCGATATGTACGATCGGAGCACCGCCGGGAAACAACAACAACGACGTCGTCGTCATCATCTTCTTCGAACGCTCACTTTTTTCTTTTCGGAGAAGCGGCTTTCTTCGCTTTGGCGGAGACGGCCTTGGTGGACTTGGGTTTCGGAGCTTTCGGTTTCTTCGTGGGTCCGGCCTTGTTAGATCTTTTCGCTTTCGAAGGAGATTTCGCCTTCGACGCCGCTCTGGCGGCAGCGGCGGCGGCGGCCTTCTTCTCTGCGGCGGAGGCGCTGGCAGCGGCGGCGGCGGCCTTCTTCGCTTTGGCCACGGAAGCGGTCTTCTTTTCGGCGGCGGCCTTTTTCGCTTTCGGCGCGGTCTTCTTCGAAACCTTAGAAGCCGCCTTCTCGCCGGCGGCGGCGGCGGCTCCGGCGGAAGCGCGTTTTCCCGCGCCAATCGCGGCTTTCTTCGTCCTGCCGGCGCCGGATTTCCTCTTCCTTTCGGCGGCGGAGGCGGCGGCTTTGGCACCGCCGGCGGTCGTGGAGGCCAACTTGAAAGAACCGGAAGCACCTTTGCCTTTCGTCTGGACGAGGGAACCGGAAGCGACGGCGCCTTTCAGGTATTTCTTGATGAACGGAGCAACTTTTTCGGCGTCGACCTTGTAGTTGGCGGCGACGAATTTTTTGATGGCCTGGAGGGACGATCCGCCGCGTTCTTTCAAACCTTTGATGGCGTTGGTCACCATCTCCGAAGTCGGCGGATGGGAAGGTTTGCTCCTGGGATTCTTCGCTTTCTTTTCCTTCTTGGCGTGAGGCGTTCCGGCGGAGGAGGCGGCGGCCGAAGCTGTCACCGCGGCGGAAGCTGTTTGATTTTCTACGTCTGCCATTTTACCGAACAACTGATTGTTTTTGTTATTAAAAAAAGTCGATGGTTATCGGTCGCACGATCGAATTTGAATAGTGGCGAAAACGACGTCTAAGTGTCCCCGACGTAAACCAAGCGGACTGTAAACTAAACGCGCGACTTTGACGGAATTCGCTCGAAATCGGCGGCCTCGCGCTCGACTTTCGGGTGATGACATCGTTCTCTTTTCGCCGTCACCACCGCCTCCTTGTCGTTAGACGGACGAAACACGGCCTCAGACCTTCCTCGACGTTTATTCGAGTATTTTTCGACGAAGCGGGAATCGGCGAATCGGCAGGGCGTCCGTCCGGACGCTCGCTCGAAGAAGACCTTGTCAAAAGTCGAACAACGTACCGAAGGTGGACGTCGACGCTCCGACGTCCGTCGTCGCCGCCACCGTGACGACGCTTCGACGAGGTGAGCCTCCGTCCATGCTTTCCGGTTTTTTACACCCTCGGGGACGATCGGAAGACGTTTTCTCGTCAAAAAACGCCTCCGAAAGAGGCAAGGTACGGTCAAAATCGTCACCGCTTCGAAGCGACTCTTCCGATTTCGACGATCTCCTGGGGCACGGGGGGCTCCTTCGACGTAGATCGTCGAACGAAAACGACGGAACGGACTTTCGGCCGTCCTCCGGTGGCGGTCTCGTCTCGGTACGAGGATGGGAACATTAAAAATTTCCATGTCGAAGGCGCGACGAGATGATTCGGTCTCGTCGTTTCCTCGTACCTCGAAACGACGAGGAAATTCGGATTTTTTTTATTTTTTTCCGTACGAGATCGATCGACGATCGAAATTGCACGTCTGACGAAAATTTCCTTGCGGATTTTTCCAAAAGTTTCTTCGTTTCGAGTGTCGTTTTCGAGCCGGGACCGAGCGCGGAAACCCGCAGCACCGCACCGACGGCGAACGAAAATTCTTTCTTCGATTCACGTACGATACGTTTTCTGTCTTTCCTGTGGCCGCTTTTCATAGTTTTATTTTCTTTTTTTTTTCCTTCTTCTTTCGAAGATCTGAAAGACTACATTCTATGGAGTTTATTTAATCTATTATTGTTTACAGACGAACGAACTTCGAACTATTTTAACATCTTTCAACTATTATTTTTTAATTCAATTCACTTACACTATTATATTATCAAGACAAGTGTTTTTCAAAGCATTCGAACCATCGAGATACGGCGAATTTATGACGGCGGTTGTTTGTAAAATATTGCAAATGCTGCTTTTTGGGTTATATTTATATATATGTTGTCCGGGACTTGTTTTTTACGTATATTTACGATTACATTCACACACAGGTGGCCAGGTGGCGGTAGTAGGGTAATTAATCCGGCGGACGAAGATGGTTTATGGTTTGTTTTTACCTACGTCCGCCGTGATTGTGCCTTATGTGCCTGGTTCGTCTCTTTGTCGGTCTTGTCGTCCTTTCCCTATCCTGTCGGTGGCATTCGTCTGTTAGTTGTACGTGCGTGATGTGCTTGTTTGTTTGTTTTGTATTTTGTGTTGCAGACCGCTGCGCTGTGCTGCGCTCCTCGATCTTCGATGTTCGTTCGTCGGATCTTGGCACTTTTGCTTCGACGTTTCGACTTCTCGGATCCATTTCTACTCATTTTTTACCCTTATCATCAGGCAACGGCCATACCACGTTGATAGCACCGGTTCTCGTCCGATCACCGAAGTTAAGCAACGTCGGGCGCGGTCAGTACTTGGATGGGTGACCGCTTGGGAACACCGCGTGCCGTTGTCTTCTTCTTTTTGTTAAACTTTAGTTTTTAGTAAAAAAAAACGATGTGTTTATTATAAGTGTGTCATAAGTTAAGCTAGTTTTTAATTTAGAATTTAAGTTAGTCGCTAAGATTTTCCACTCGCGTCCTTCGACTCGAAATTTTCAAACATTCCGCTCCCGCCAGATTTTTTGTTTTTGTTTTGCCCTATCGCGAACACCCCCCTTATTCTTTTTTTTTTTTTTTTTTTTTTTTTTAAGTCCAAAAAAAAATTTACAAGTCCAGATCAGATCGAGGTGTGCAAAAAACAAATATTCACAACACCCCTACCTGATTTTAATATCAATTTATGCCCTTTTTGTTTTTCACTTATGAATTTAGTAAAGTCCAATCATTAATTTTAGTCGTTTCTCCTTTTTGTTTAATTTCTTACGTAACCTATACATGCCCTGCCGAAAATAACTTCATTTCCTAAAAATCTGCTCATCTCAGTTTGTAATTTTTGGCTTCTTATGCATGGACTTTGCACTATAAACAATGGTCCTTCTCATTTGTTAAGACTCTCTCATTTTCGACATGGTTACGTTTGACAACAAGCGGCTCCCTCTAACAGCTTTTCAAACGACTTTTTGCTTATAGATTTCCTGGACTTTACACTTTAAAACATACGGGCTCCCTCTTCTTACGAACTCGTTAGACATTACACTTTTTACAGTTTGCGAGATTCGAGCCGTACTAGCTTCAGACAAAACCGGACCAAAACTTCACAGATTTATCTCAAACGACTTCCATATATTTTCAATATTTTTTTGCTTTCAACTTTCAAGCGTAGGCGGGTCCCTCCACTTTGCAAACTTTAATTCGCAAACATTGTGCTTTTTACGGTCTGCGATTCTCGCCTTGCTTGCAACAAAAATCGTTTACTTCAAAACAAATTTATTCTGTTTACAATCTTCTCCTTTTTGGTCTTATTGAACGTGATTTTAGCATAAACTCCCTGCTCCTTACTCCATCTGCTTGTGACATTCAATTAACGAAAACTGTGGACAAACACAAAATCACCCAGTATTTGTCACACGAAAATCTGGTGCAAGAGAAAATCTTATTTGGAACACCAAAAAAAGAACGGCCAAATCACAGTCAAGAAAAATGTGTCATGTTTTGAAGAATCTGATAAACTTTATTGTTTGTGCATAGACGACGGTCGGATCACCCCATACATATGCGCTTCGACCTTCGATTGGAGCCAAACTCAATGCAGCCTTACACCTAATACGCTAGCAGGGGCGCGGACAACCATTTCTCCTTGGTTAAGGTCTGCCACATTCGGTTGACTAGGCTTCAACATCAGCGCATTTTGCATTAATGTTAATTTTTTCAAGAAAAATATCGCTGATGTCATACACGTACTGCGGTACGTCCACTAACTAGCGCAGGCGAAAAAAAAACTGCACAGGATTTCTCAGATTGAGGAATTCACCGCTGGCCATGCACTCGCAACTACACCAATACAATCGACCCTGCCCAGCATCAAGATGAACCTGCCGCCCCAGCTCCCGTACTTCAACCGTCGCTCCGCGATGATTGGCTCCGGGTGTGAACCCGTGCGCATTGTTGATGTCTAATGTGCTTGGTGCGTCCTCTTATCGCACGAATGATGCTGACATAGAGTGAAATTCTTAAACGTCCATTATCACTTCCATTTTGTGATTTAAAGCATACTTGAAACTGAAAATGAGATGCTCACGTCGAATGGAAAATGCTAAACGTTGTCTTCTAACTACATTCTCAGTTATTCAACGAATATAACGAACTGAAAATACAAGGCATACTTCAAACTAACAATACTTGAAGTTATTTAACGTGTACCACAAATTGAACATAAAAGGCAAACCTCGAACTACAATATTATACCTTGACTTCCAACTGCATTGTCTATTAAATATTTAACGCACACAACGAACGGAAGATAAAAGGCATACTTCGAACTAATGATATTTCATCAACCCCCACTTACCACTACGTTGTAAATTATTTAACGCATACCACAAACTGAAAATAAAAGGCACACCTCAAACTAACAATTTTTAAACATCCACTTCCCACTGCATTGCAAGTTATTTAGCGCATACCACGAATTGAAACTAAACGGCACACTTCGAACAAATGATATTAAACGTCCACTTCCAACTACAGTGTACCATATTTAACGCTTTCCACGAACTGGAAATAAAAGGCACACCTCAAACCAACAATATTAAACTTTCACTTCCCAGTAGATGCAAGTTATTCGACGCCTACTACGAACTGAAATTAAGGGGCGCATTTCGAACTAAAAATATTTAACGTCTACTTCCCACTGCATTGCAAGTTATTCAAGGCAAACCTCGAGTTAAAAATAAGGGATACATCCCGAACTGATAATATTAACGTCCACTTCTACTTACATTGTATGTATGCATTTCAACGCATACCACGAACTGCAAATGAGAGGCGCATATCGAACTAAAACGTTCACTTGGAACTCGTCGAGTTTTTCGACGTGTACTACTAACTGAAACTATTCAATGCACGCGTCTGACTATTTCATGCACACTACGAAGTGAATACTTTGAAATTTGAAATGCCTTCCTTGAATTGAATAATATACAAATACGTCGAAACCAATATCTCCAACTAAAAATTTTCAGAGCACCTGTGAAGCACCTAACTTAAATAGCACAAGTTAATGAACTAAAATATGTTCTTGATGACGAAGTATTCAAAAGTCTGGTATGTCTTTAGAGGGTTTGAATACAATAGTGATTTAGTTGAAAATCCGAAATTCAACATTTGACCATTCCTCATGCAGAAGAAACAAGAGCTTGATGATATGGTCAATCTAGGCGTAATAAGACCCACCAATAAAGCAACTCCAGTGGTAGGTCCTATGAGAATGGTGCGAAAAAACAACAAAATTCCAGTATGTATCGTTCCAACTGATCTCAACAAAAACATACTCAGAAGACACCATCCATTGAAAACAGCTAAACTGCAAAATCGGCTTCTGGGAAATAAAAGTTAATAAAGACACAAAGGAGTACTTAACATTCGCCACACCATGTCGTAGATTTTGTTGTTTAAAACTTCCTTTTGCTCTCTGTTCAGCGCTAGAAATATTTCAAGAAATCATGAGCACCTTGCTAAAAAATGTGCCAAGCGCAGAATGCTCAACGGATGATATTTTAATACATGCTAAGTCAAAAGATGAGAGAAAAATTACTAACAAAGTCATAAAAGTTATCAAAAAAGCTGGATTAAAAATTACATCCAGAAGTACATTTTTGAAACAACTGAAGTTAAATTCCTAGAACATGCCTTTATTTACAAAGGCTTAAAAATAGATGAAGAAAAAATTCAAGCCTTCAAGCCATTTGACAACTTAATGCCCCCGGCAACAAAAAACAGCTTCAAAGACTATTAGGAATGGTGACGTATTTACATAAATTCATCCCAAACTTATCGGAGTTAACAAGCTCGAAGTAAAGTTGTCAGTGGATGCTAGTGCAAATTTAATTGGAGCAGTACTTCTTCAAAACGAACAGCCACTAGCTTATGCAACAAAAACACTCAATGAAGCACAACGGAAGTATCCTCAAATCGAAAAAGAAGTCTACGCAATCAGGTACGCTTGTACGAAGTTTTATGAATACATCAGCGTGCAAACGTCTGACTATAGAAACAGATCACAGATCACAAACCGCTTGAAACTATCTCTTCAAAGCCAATCGAAAAGGTTCCGGCAAGATTGCAAAGAATTATCTTCGATGAGCTCCAATATTCGCCAATTATAATGTTCCGAAAAGGCGCAGAAATACCGATAGCGGACGCACTTAGCCGAGATTTCAACCATTCATCGGATGAAGAACAACAAGAAGAAACCTTTTGAAGTCCAAATCATACTCTCAATGAGCAAATCATCTAGGGAAGAATTGGTCAAAGAAACCGAAATAGACCCACAGTTACAGAAGTTGAAGGAAGTAATAGTCACTGGTTGGTCCGCCTGCACTAAAAATGTAAATCAAGCGCTACGCTATTACTTCAGAGACGAATTATAAAAGTCTGTTTAAATCTAAAAAAGAAATAGTTCCTAAAGCTCTGATCCTAAAAATGGTGAAACGAATTCAGACTGCTCACCTGGGCATCCAAAGTTGCTTACGGAGGGCACAACAGTTATTGCATTGGAGAGTACTCAACCAAGATGTGATAGGCTACATAGGAAGATGTCCAGTTTGCCAGAAACTCAAGAGAGCTAATAACGAAGAACCTATTCCAGAATTACGGTGGCAAAGAGTAGTGTCATATATATCTATAGGTTATAATGTAGTAGAGGGACAGAGAATAAAATTCTCAAACTTCTCAATCCTCCTATAGATCAAGGGATACAACAAGTAGCAACAGATATTTTTACTTTTAATAGAAAGGACTACCTGACAATCTGTGACAGCTATTCCGGATTCACAGACATCAAATTGCTGGGAAATTAACAGCCACCGAGACGATAGAGCACCTCAAAAATTGTTTTTCGGTACATGGAATTCCAGAAGTTATGGATGAATCTCAGTTTGCCTGCAGAGAGTTTATGGAATTTCGAAAACGATGGGGCTTCGACCATTCAACATCCAGTCCACGCTTTCCAAGGGACGGTGGTCTTGTTGAAAAAGCGGTTTCAACGTCCAAACATATCTTCAGAAAATGTTTAATGGACGGTACAGAAGTGCAATTGGTGTTATTGAACTACCGAAACACGCCACGAAATAACAACACTGTATCTCCCAATCAAAGACTAATGAGCCGAACAACAAGGTCAACATTACAAAGCTCTCACGCTAACATAAAACCGACAGTAACTGAAAATGTATGTAACCGAAGAATTAACACGTCTTAGAGAAAAGCAGAAGATAGAACAGCAAGAGCTTCAAATATAACGCCAAGGGATTGGAAACAGGCAGTGGTGGTAGAAGAAATGGACAGAAAAGCCGAGTTCGCTTCGAAAACGGCAGTGTTGAGAAGAAATACGACACTGTGAACACTTTTACAGGTATCCAGTATTATGAATCTTGTTCACTAAAATTTTAGAGAAAATAAGATCAATCATTCCCAAAAAAACATTAAATAAAAATGTTACTGTTGAGCAAAAAATTAAATTATTTGTTTATCGAGCAACACATCTATTTGTAAAATTTCAAATCTAATAATTTGAAACTCTTTTGAAAAAAAAAAAAATCGAAAGTATTTATAACATCGATAACAAAAAAGAGTTGCACAAATTATAGATTCCAGGTCGGAGAACTAGTATATGTTGAAAATGGTAACCGACTGAACCGAAAGAAATTAGATGTATTAATAATTGGACCTTACAAAATCCTAAGGAAAATGTCAAATTCTATATATGAAATAGATACCACACATAGAAAATCGGAATCAAATTTATTTCATATCTTCAAACTCATTCCTGTTCCAAGTACTTACTTCAAAGGAAGAAACCACCACAGACACTTGGCTATTAAGTGCTTTTGCTTATGTATTATAATTTATACCAAAACTTTTGTACCAAAATTTTTGTCTTGGGGGGGGGGGGGGGTAACGATTAAGTATCCTCACTCTAATGAATCTAACGCGCAATTAGGTCGGTAAGTTAGATCTCTGAATGGGATGATTAATTTTGGCATGTGGCTATGAGTGACGAGCAAGTCAGATTTCATGTAATAATGTAAAATATGGTGAGTAACAACATTGATTGTTGTTTCTTTGTTGTTTACACAGAAACAATTAAAGTTTTATTGTCTTTTAAAGGTAAGAAGGAAAAACGAAAATAACCTCACATTACATATACATTTTTATTAAAAAATTACCATACATACGATAAGTTTAAAACGTCTGCAACATATCAAAGCATACGGTTGGGCAGTGCCTCATTTAATCAATAAAATAAATTGACTCTTTCATTGATTTTTCTTAGTCATCGTATATAAACACATCCAAAAAATATGAATGCAATGATAAATCACAAGTATAGACTCATTATATTTTACACATTTTAGATTTTTTGAGGTGACCTAATACATTTAATTTTACAGTAACTTTTATTTAAACTGTAAAACAATAACTAAATAAGCCGCAATAGAACCGAAAATCATATATAACATTGTGTGGTCAACTACAAACAATCCTGCAGCCGAAAATTTGATTTTTCTTTGGCTCAAATGCTCTGCCAATAGCATGAGTTCGTTTCTTGTAATATCTTCATCATGTGATTTTGGATACGAAGGGTAGTTCAAAAGAATTTTATAACAAATTATGGAAGTGTTATTGGCTTCGTTAGATGCTTGCTCACAGCAAATTGCCACTATCACCCCAAACATCTAAAAATTAGATTTGAAAAACGTGTTGTTTGTAAATTATAACTTACAATAAAAATAACAGAATTCATCGTATCAGCTATCAAAAAACCAATGTTCCACCCAGATGTGCTTATGTCAATTCCTAAGGCAAACTTCATCAATAAATTCATGCTTTGAATTAGACATATAATAATGATGAAACTAATTGCAGCAATTTGTATTCCATGTGATTTGCTAGTTAAGTCTATTACATCACAAAGTCTATCATATATTTTAAGAAAAAACTTGGTCTTCACGGCTCCGTATTTTCCGTTAGAATTTCTGACAGTCTTACGATTTTTTTGATACTGTATACATAAAAATAACTTGTCATTGACAAAACCAAAATACTGTTTTATAACTGTAGAGATAAACTGAACTTGCATTACTATCAAAGAAATCATAAATAGATTTAAATATCTATCAACTGACCAAGTGTAACGAAACAACCCATGCGTTTGTATCCTGAACGCAGATTCAAAAATTGTGTAGGATAAAATTATAAATTCCAAGCACCCAAATTGTATGAGTAGACCCTTATCTTCCAACTTACAAGTACATTCGAATTTTTCGTTTAACATTCTCTCGATTTCCATTAAATCCTTAAACACTTTTACTATTTTTCTTCTTTGAAAGACAACTGCCAAGAGGATAGAGACAGTAGTGGTAGCTGTAGTTCCTACTGCGGTAATCGCATCTAAAATTGCTGCGGTCAAAATGATATTACCATAAAAGTGTAGCACTTTAAAATATAAAGAATAAATACACAAAGCGAACAAAAGTATACAAATTAGTGATGAATATATAAGGTAAAACACGGCTAAGCCACAGTAGTTAAAAAGATCTGGAACTGTTAACCCCATAACTTGACATACTGGTTGTAAAAATCTGACGATTTTTTTGCCACTAAGTTGTTCATGGCCAGAAGAAGGACTAATTTTCATTTTATCAGTAGCAAGACGGTCACGAACGGAGGTATGTACATACAATACATTAAAGGGATAATATTACTCGTGTTGTTGTATAACGAAATGGATTGCTTGATTAATGATTCATGCTGCAAATGAAAAATACATTACACTCATGCATAACACAAAATGAAGCCAAAGTTAATGAATTATTTTTTAACGATTTTTCTCCTTGAATAGATTGTTAAAAATTATTATTAGACTATGGACTAATGAATGCAAGAAGTTTGTAATTAGTCCATTAAAACTTGCTCTAAAGTTATGTAAACATAATTTCTCCTGCTCTCCGAGCACAGTTTACAAACATCAATTTTTCACATAAATTATGAAACTTGATCTTGCCACTTTTTTTCTTTGAGAACTTCTATAATTTAAAACAATACGCTGTTGACAGATGTTACGCATAACAATGATAAACATCTACCACCACTATTTACTACGACCAAAAATTGTCATGTTTAAGTTAAAGGCTAAGCGTCGATTATTACCAAACGAAAAATAAATGTACAAATAAATTTAAAAGAGTTTAAAACTTTTGACAAATGCTTTGATTTTTTTTTAAATAAACAATGTAGAAGAAGAAACATTCTCGGGGTCTGTTAATCTCTTTTTTTCTTACGAATTCAATTTTTGGTTCTGAAAAGAACTTTTTCGAAAAATTGTTAAGATATAATTTTACGAATTTAATTTTTCTTTACTTTTACCCTTGAAACAAGTTATGTATGTAATCTTAATATAAGAGAATAGAGGCATGCTATGTATATGTTTTAATTGAGTGTTTCCTTTAGAAAATCTCGTGATGACAACATTAACATTTATGCAAGGACACGTATATCAACGTAGAAAGGTGCACTAATACTAATAATAACATTATTGTATCAACAAATTTTCAGGAAAATGGACTAAGCCGTTCCCTATTTAATCCATAAAATAAATTGACTCAAACGGGTTTTTTAGTCACCCTGTTTAAGCAATTCTAAAAAGGATTTATAATTTGACGTTTAAATATACGAAATTCCTAACATACAGACAAAACTTAACAACAATCGGCCCGGTAATAAAGTCTGACAGAGACGACAGACAGACAGACAGTCAAATATAGAGAAAGACGGAAATGGGAGACCCACTTTTTAGTACTTCAGGGGCCATGATAACCAATTATCGGATGGACCCTAATATAAAACTTCCTTTTTATTAATATATATTATTGTAAAACAACACGAAAGCAACAGGAAAAGAGAGACCCAAATACATCCACACGAACTGTTAGGTAATTAGGTTTGAGACAATAAAGCATACAATTTTATGAGACACCATAATACATCAGATATTATGAAGCTTCAAAATAAGTTTTCCGCATCATTGGTACCTACAAAGGATAACAATTGCAACAAACATAAATTGTCAAATTAACATTATATAAGAAATCTGGGATTTTACAAGACGCTCTACTAGGATCGCTACTACACCTCCTATATGTACAAGTAACTAAAGATAACATTCCGTATTCTGTAACACATCTGTTTCCATAGTAATATACATGATATTAACAATGACAAGGATAATTGTTATCCACAGTAAACTTTAAAATTGCTTCCAAACATTAATGTGAATAGTTTTCCACGTCACCCTTGAGGTACTATTCGTAAACGCGTTGACTTTTTTTGGGAAGTCATCGCCAGTAGCCCTACAAACCCATTTATCAGAAATTATTTTTTCTTAATTAATTTGATGCGTCTTGCTCTTAATTTATTAATATTATCATTAATATTGGTTTAATACAGCTCCATCGAGCTATTGTGGTTTTTTATATTTCATTTTTGTTATAATTTTTTTACCAAGTTTTTTTTTTGTCTGGGAGGGGAAATACCTTGGACAGACCACCGTGTTGGTTCTCGGCACGGGGTACTGGTGGATTGCACTAAATTGCTTATTATCCTAAAACCCCTCCATCTTCAGCTCAGGTGTCAGAATTTTGTTCTTTCACCTGCGTCCCGACTTTTGAGTGGTCACAGACGTGCTGTGCCACTGCAGTTCGGTTATGCAGTTAATAATGAATATTAATATTGGTGCTTTTAAATACCCTGTGTTCAAAGGTAGGTAGCTCTGAACTTAACTTGCGGGTGGAAGTGTTGACAAAGAGTTTGTCAATGCGATTTTTAAATATGTTTATATTTTCAGATTCTATCATTTCCTTGGGTACTTTATTCCCATCTTGAAGAACACGGATGGAAAAGTAGTAGTACTTATATCTTCATTAAACTATTAGTAGCGACAACTATTCTAGGGAGGACTTCTAGGGTAGTGCCGCTACTAGATAATGAACTCGTTCTGAAAAGAAACCGCAAAATTTTTGTCCAGGAAAGCTAATGAAAATAAACACAGTAGTATTTTTTTTATTTTCAATTACTAGGTTTGGTTCTGAAAAGAACAAGGTTGCGAAATTTTTATCCAGTGATTGTGACGACCAGCGAAGACCTCTAGTAGTGCAGGCATTGACGATGAGGATGTTATTCCGAAAAGAATAAGTTTAAGAAATGTTTATCCATTAACGGCAATTACTAGGTTTGGTTCTGAAAAGAACAAGGTTGCGAAATTTGTATCCAGTGTTGGTGACGTTTAGCGAAGACCTCTAATAGTGTGGATATTGACGATGGTTAAGTCATTTCGAAAAGAATAAGTTTGCGGAATCTGTATCCAGCAACTCTAGCGAAAACTTCTAGAGTGGCGTCTTTTTAATGATTAAGATCTTGTTCTGAAAAGAAATTGCAAAATTTTTGTCCAGGCAAGGTGATGAAATAAACACAGTAGTATTTTTTATTTTCGATTACTAGCTTTCGTTCTGAAAAGAACAAGGTTGCGAAATTTTCGTCCAATCCTGGTGACGACTGGCGAAGACCTCTAATAGTGTGGATATTGACGATGGGGATGACATTCCGAAAAGAATAAGTTTGCGAAATTTTTATCCATCAACGGCAACTGTAGCCAAGACTTTTAGGGTAGCGCCGCTACCAATGATTAAGATCTTGTTCTGAAAAGAAATTGCAAAATTTTTGTCCAGGAAAAGTGATGAAATAAGCACTTTTTTATTTTCAATTACTAGGTTCGGTTCTGAAAAGAACATGGTTGCGAAATTTTTATCCAGTGTTGGTAACGACCAGTTAAGACCTCTAATAGTGTGGATATTCATAGTGGCGATGTCATTTCGAGAACGAATAATTAAGATCTTATTTTGAAAAGATATTGCAAAATTTTTGCCCAGGAATGGTAATGAAAGAAACCCACTAGTTTTTTTTTTTCAATTACTAGCTTTGGTTCTGAAGAGAACAAGTTGCGAAAATTTTATCAAGGGTGACGACTGGCGAAGACCTCTAGTAGTGTGGATATCGACGATGGCGATGATGTTCCGAAAAGAATAATGTTACGGAAGAAACCCATACGCCGCCCCGATACGACGCCTATGGGTTCTAATATTTTCGGCGATGATGACTCATCGCGGCCGGATGGCGTTTGCTAAAGACAAGCCTGAAATCGGATGTCACGACGGGTATTCCAGAACAAACTTAGAAGCGGTAACGAAGACCGTCGAGAATGACCGCGTGTCTGTTTAAATGGGAACCACCGTCGGGAGCAGTTGGAAAAAGTCTAATCAAATCTATTCCACTCGTGTCGGAATTGTTCTGTACATATTCGCTGTTATTAAAAAATAAATTGTTGAGTTTAACCTACGCCGATTTTAAATTACGATCAACGTAATATTGGTGTCAGAAGTGGAATTTGAAATTAATAAGTGGTTTTACGGGCAGATTGGACAAGAATTCTGAAGATTGATGCCTGTTGAGACTAGAGCTCAGGTTGCGAAAATGGAGGAACAAGTAAAGCAGATGATGGGCATGCTCGCACAAATGGGGGCAAGAATGCAAAAATTGATGCAAGAGGCGAACTCATGAACGCAAAAATGGAAAATATGAAGGAAAAAATTCACGCAAGAATGGAAAGAATGAACGAAAAAATGGTAATGATGGACACAAAGATAGACAAGCAAAAACATGACAATCACTAGCCTAACTGAAAAATTAGAAAAGTGGAAGCAAACAATAACGAAATAGAAGAAATCAAAGAAGAAATGGATAACGTAAAAACAAATTTGGAAAATACGGGAAATATTGTAGGACAAAATATGATCTCAATTGAGCATCAGTTGAAGAGTGAGTTAGAAAAACCAGTGGAATATATAGAAGATCGAAAGGAAAGTAAAATGAAGAAATTTGAAAAGACGTCGGTTCCTAGAACGATTCAACCACCCACCTATGATGGTCAAACACCTTTGTCATCGTACAAGAAGCAGCTCGAAGTAGCAGCGATGGCAAATCTATGGGAAGAATAACAAAAAGCTCCAGCTTTGGTGATAGCTTTGCGAAGCGCAGCGCTAGAGAGAAACAGGTATAGTGCCTTAACTGCTGCTCTGGAACTTCGATTTGGGGATAAACATCTGAGACAAGTTTTTGCAGTTTAAGTAAAGACAAGAATCCAGAAAGTTGGAGAATCCCTTTTAAGAATTTGAGGCAGATGTCAAGAGATTGGTACGTCTTGCATACTCCGACGCACCACCAATTTTTCAAGAGAGGCTTGCGACAGAAACCTTCGTAAATGGCATTCGCGACGTTGAAGTTAAGATCTTACAACTATCAAGGTATCAGACATCTGATGCCTTAATTCGTGCACTGGAAGTGGAGGCGGCATACAGTTCTCCGAGAACGTGCTACAAAGTCAGCGTAGCAGAAACAGAGAAAGAAGAAAACAACAAGATGGAGAAGCTGCTAAGAAAATTGTTACAGCAAATAGATGACCTATTTCGAAGACGAGAGAATGATGTGTTTCGTAAGCAAAGCATGAATTGCTACAGGTGTGGACACCAGAGACACCTTAAAAGTGATTGTTCTGCTCGATTACCAATTCCAAGAAAAAGCACAAAA